ATATCAGATTCGACAAGACTAGGTTGGGAATGTCTCCTGCTAAAGTCAATATCTATACAATCGGTGGATCGATCAATACCGATTTCTACAAGTAGCCACGCTTTACACGAAAGCTAAGTATACGCTTAGAATAGGAGAGATATCTGGTGACATGGCTGCTTCTTAGCCTGACTCCTGGGAGCCACAAGGTCATCTACACTGGTCAACAACTACACTGGTCAACAAAGACACTTGAAAAGGAGTTTGGGATTAAAAAAAAGAGTTGAAGTCGCGGCAAAAAAAAGAGTTATAACCAGCTTATGAATTAATTTGATAGATACTTTTTTTAAGTCAGCAATTGCGCAGAACTGCTTCACCGTGTGTCCTTGTTGATGCTTTTCCAACTCAATCCCTTGCGATGTCTATACCTTTTCCTTCGTTTTAATAAACACTTCAATACACAATTGCAAGAAATGGGTGTCGGTCATTCTCAATTTATTAACTTTTGCTTTCACCATTCAGTTGTTTTGCTTGCCGTCTTCGGCTTTGGTTTGCAATTTTTTGATTCGGTCGCGTGTAGCCCTTCTGTGCTGCTTTAATGTGCTCTTTGCTAACATACTTCTTTTGATCAGTTAAGTAAATCATCCTAAGAATCAACTAAATTGTAATCCGCAGCATGCCGCAGCAAGAATCAGCTATAATATCTCAACGTGGGAATGGATCGAGTGACCTGTCGAGCTACCTCACGAGCCATCTCAACGTCGGGACCTAATACACTGGAAATGTCATTGTATCGTTCGATGCACTCACGAAGTCCGCCACTGCCACGAGCCTCTGCGATAGAGGGCAAGACCCGAGATAGCTTATGTCGCATTACAGGTTCTTGAAAGCACGGAAGACTGATCTCTTTATCAGCATCTGGCGACTGATCAAGTAGAGTCCTAATCACCGCAAACGCCTCGCTTGGATCATGAATCGTCGCTGATCGGATATTTCCATGGTTGTGGGTTGTATCGGAGACCCATAAAAATTGCCAATGATCAATCAAGTCAGTTAAAAGGGCCATCACAGGTTCATCGACAAGAACATCCAGAGCTATCAGTTCTGACAAAGCTTGGGACATCGCGCATTCTGTCACTTTTCTCTTCACTTCGATAAGTAATCTCACGTTAGGCAGCATCCCCAAGTCGAGTGGATTTTTTAAGACGAGATCACTCAGTATGATCATGTCCGTGCGTCCAACAAGTTTAATGTTGTGCCCAGGAATTTCAGCCTTGAGGATGTCCTTACCTTTTACCACACGGTACACGCAAAGCCTATTCCTCTTAAGCACGTCACCGATGTTTGCTTCCATATACGCGCGGTATCGTTCACGCTGCTGCTCCTCGGTAAGCGCAATATCCTGACCACGTTCATCACTATTGCAGTCCCACGTGAACGGTTCAACATGCGTCACGTCCCCAGAAGCGAATTCAACCGCGTCGGTAGCTTGCAACCGAATATTCAATTCGGTCAGAAGAGTCGAACCCGGGCTTGAGTGACGGTATACCTTGCGTTTGCCCAGCACAGTTTGTTCGTACAGTTTATCAACCTTTTCGATGAGTTGATCTATCTTGGAAGTTTCGCTTGCTTTCCCCTCCGGAACCACCACCAACACGTGAACCACATCCTCTTCTCGGGAATTATTAGGACCAAAAAGATTTGGTTTG